GTGTGGGTGTGGGTGTCGGTGTGGATGAGTGTGGGTGTTGGTCTTCTCTCCACCCACACCCACACCCACACCCAACTGGGATGTCTCACAAGTTAGATGTAATTGTGTTATGAATTTGGCTAACAAACATGTCTCTTGTAACCAGGAAAAAACAGATAATGAGGATGTTCGACTATCTGATAAGTATATCATCGGCTTTCTATAAATTTTATTTGATAAACTTGTTATTTACTTTCATCTTTTCAGTGACAATGAAGAAGTTAAAGATTCAGTTGAAGAAGATCAGAAAAATAGACAACAATTATATCAAGATTTAGATGTTGAGTATGTGAATATTTTAATAATTCTTCTTAAGAGTACACATACATAGTGACTATACTTGCAGTGAAACTCTACTTGCAATGTGACTATGAAAAACACTTTTGAAGCTGATTTATTGAGAACTCCATTTGCACTATTTCTAAATATAATAATATATTTAGAATGAATGATGATCAAAACTCGACTGCAGATGAATCTCAAGCAAATAATGCAGATGACAACGAAGAACAACATGTTTCGTTAGTATTTATTTTCCTCCACTTTCCAGGGAGTATAAACTTATCTGTGAACTTCGTTTTGTAGATCAACAATTGATGTACCACCAGTCACAACAGCTGTGATTGGGAAACATCGACGTGTCGACCATGTTTATATGTTACGTACATCACCTTATGGTTTACGTAAACGAAAAGGTGAATGATTACTTTACAATGATGAAAACAAAAAATAACATTTACATTTTCTATCTTTTTTTTTCTATATGAGCAAAGATATAAAACTACTTTGTCGTGTGACTATAACTAAAGACTAACGAGTTCATAGAATCAAAAAACTACGACAGAGGTCTAGCTCATGACTGTAATTGCATATTAAAAATAGTTGCATTGTAAGTATACTTACAATGAAACTATATGCTAAGAACCTCATAGTTACAATGCAACTGTACTTTACTATTATTTTCTAAATCAAGCAATAATTTGAGAAATATATGTAATATTTTTCGACAAAACGTCATTCGACGAATTATCATTCGACGAAAAGTCATTCGACCAAAAGCTATTCGACGAATAATTGTTCGACGAAAATGTTTCTGGCATTCGACGAAAAGTTCATTCGACTAATGGCTCCCAACTCCAATTCTGTACCTGTGTCAAAGGCAAAATGTCACCGTTCCATATATGGAACACTCGCCGCGAAAGGGTTAACAATAAGACATAACACATATCTTTCCTAAAATCATAAAGGTTGGAGAAATAATTCTGGTGTGAAATTCCTGGCAATTCCTAGGAATTCCGAGTAATTCCGGAATTGGAAGCAGTTTCCGGAATTCCGAAATCAGAAGGAATTTCTAGTAGTTCCATCTCGACTCAATTCCCGGAATTCCGTACCGGAATTACTTACTTATCATAGGGATTAATCTTCAACCATACCA